ATCGCCTGAAAGTACGCAAGGAAGTTTGGTGGGTTTCACTTTGGAGTTTAAGTTTAACAGATCTATAATGAGCTCTGTGACCTTTAGATAATGATGAAACAGATGAATGAAGGAATGTACAATCATCTTTTACTTAATTAGAAACTTTGAGGCCTGCTTACAGCATACAACAGAAGTTCAGTATCTCTAAAATGTTTAGTAAATTACAAATAATTTCAGTTAAATACAACTTAATTTGTTTGCATTCAATAAATAAATTATTAAAGCAAATTAGTACACAAAACAGAACTGTTTGATTGGTTAAACTGTAATAAGGGGTTCGTACATTAAAAGGAGACTGTACAATAGTCAGTACTACAGTACTACTCTTTACTAGTGGGTTTTCGTGATACGAGTGTAGCACAAATTTGTGGAGATTCTGTCAGCTTCAAGTTCTTTTCAGCTCTGTGAGGGGCTGCCTTTCCACTTTATGACTCCTTAGAGGTGTTCTCTAGAATTCAGGTGAAATACTTGGCCAGGAAACGGTTTTCACTTTACTCTTATTTAAAGACGCCTGTGTGCTTTTCACAGTGTGTTTAGGATCATTGTTGGGTTGGAAGATTCCTTTCTTGCCAAGTGTCTTTAAAGTGGGAATCATCTTTCATTCAATATTTTGGTGTACACACTAGGATCATGATGATTTATAAAAGTCACCGCTTCCTAGAACTGCTGAACTCATACAGCCACATATGAACACACTACCTCCACCATGTTTCACAGTTGACACTATGCAGTCACTGTGATAGTCCTGACCAGCATGGCAAACAAGCTGAACCCTAAGGCAGAGTGGGTAATCAAGGGAATCAGGAGAATTACTGCAGGGCCGGTAGCATTTTGGGCCAGTTACTGTGGGCTAACACATAAACTCATGCATATAAGCACAAGAACTCTCAGACGAACTATAAATGTTACACCCAAGTAATCGGTAGTAGGAATTTAGGGGTTAAACCAGTGGTGGTCTGCTGATTGTAACTGACTCTTATACAGTAGATAGAGATTAGATGGAGCTAAAGGTAACCTCCTATTCTCATTTCCCATTCCACCTTAAATGATGTAGCAGTTATGTTCAGATGCCTATTCAGGTGCTAGCGTGTAAATGCTGGACTATTTAAGGTGGAACGGAAATTTGAATAAGAAGCTAACGTCAGTCTCAAAGGACTAGCATGTCCAATTCAGTGCGGTGGTCTGGGTAGTGCTTTACTTTCACAGAAGGTCACAGATTGAGTTTCGAACTGCGAAAAAGTGCAGTTCTGCACTGTCTGGGTACTCACTGAGAGGTCAGTCTCTGAAGATAAATCTTGTGCTAAGCTGGAAACACTAGCCTACCAGTTTTTCAGTGCAAGATTGTGTAAATAGGAGACCTTGTCATCTGTTAAGGGCGGCTGCTGCGCCTCTGGTTACTGGTAGTGTGACTCTTTCAGTACTTCCTAATAACTGCTGCAGCTTTCAGTGTTTAAGAGTTTATTAATGGTCATTGTACTCTTTTCCATCTTTGTGAAGTTTTACTATTTGGTTTCTTATTTTTCAGAACCCCATATGACCCAGCAGGATAAGCAGCTTAGAAAATGTGTGTGTGTATGTGTGTGTGTGTATGTGTGTGTGTGTGTTTGTCTGTCTAAATTGCCTCACAGGTGTACTCACTTTTGGTTCACTGACTTTCTGCAATGGAGTCTGTAATTTCAATATAGTTTGTCTAACCTGATTATTTTTAATAAAACATAACAGCGGGTATCCTGTTTTTGAAATTAAAATATATGTAGTCATACAGTTTAAATACAGTTTAAATTCATTCATTTGACCTATAAAGTTGACATTTTAGTTATCCTGAAGTGATGTGTACTCACATTTGTTCTATACTGTACCTTATAATTCCACTATATAGTATACAAGTACAGACTGTAGCCCATCTGCTGTTACACACAATAAGCATTTTTTGTTTGTTTGTTTTTTACTATGGACACAAGGTTGCTGTAGAGAAGCTGTGTACCTACATTATATGTCGAGACGTTTTTAGGCTCTTACTCATCAGCATTTCTTACGAAAGCAAAGGTTTCAAAAGTTCTAGATAAGTTAGTGGCTGAGGTGTAAACACAGTTGTTCAGAGCGTTTTGATGGGTAATTGTGCAAGAGAAACTTACACACTCAGATATCTTTACAGTGGTGATGACGGGAACCAGGGATCATTTTATTCACTGTCCAACGTAAAATAGTGAACCTACACATATCTTCTGAGTTTTATGTTTGTTGATAATGCTAAAAAAGTGGTGAATCTGAAAAAAGAAAAATTTATTTGAGGAAAATTTCTTTGAGGACCACATTAAATGGATTTAAAAATATGTTTTATATTAAAGCTTTGCCACAAAACGATCATCAAATAATGTTTTGGGCATCAGGCACTGCATTTTTACCCATTTCACGTTATATCTTTCTGTGAAGGAGCTTTTGGAGGCATGGAACACTTGTTTGGTTCCCATCACCACCACTGTGAACAATTCTGACTCAGTGCGTTTCTCTAGAAGAGTGTGTTTCACATCACATTGCGGTGAATGACTTTGTTTACATCTTAACTGGTGAAAAACTGTTGAATTCTCCTTTAATAAGGAGAAATTTTGTTCTGTTCTGGTCTGTCTGTTGCTATGTGTGGATCACAGAATTACAAATTTAATAATAAAGTAAAAAAAAACAAAAAAAAACAAGTTCTTTTAAGTAAATTCAGCTTTTTTTGTTTTCAGTTTTTACAAGAAACGTACATACATACATAAAAATCTGTTATCTGGGGTTTACGTCATCACTCGACATTTATGAATGTAATATTTCCTTAATAGTGATAATAATTTTATAGCATCATCCATGTGTTACAAAATAAAAGCAATACCATGGAGTCATTTACATCAACAAGCTTGTTAAAAGTTGAGAAAATAATAAGCATAATAATAATAATAATAATAAGCGTAATTTCTCTTCATAAACATGAAATAAAATCACACTTAAAAGGATAAATGTTCCAAAGACTCATTTTGATCTAAGCGGGAACAGCAGTTGGAACAATAAGGAACAACAATTCTTATGGGAACAATAAGAAATTTGTTCAGTAATATGTTACATGGATAAAACCTTTGTAAAAAAGTGTACTTTGTTGACCTTACTATGAACAAAAATCTATTACAAGATGTCCAAATCTTTAAGGAAGGAGGGAAGTGTTATTCATTACCGTTTTTTGTCCCGGGAACTGTCTGTGAGGCATTGCACGATAACAGACAGTTTGTGGCTATCGGTACAGCTGAGTGAAAATGAAATTACAGCAAAAACAGCTATTCAACAAGCAGAGCGTCAGCAGAAAGACTGTGAGTTCATAATGACTCAGTGAAAAAGCCCTGTCGTTAGCATTAAAATTGGTGTCCATTAAATGCAAGCAGATGATAAACTGCCAGTTAAACATCACTGTTCACTCTGAACAGACAACAGAACATGAGAGGGAGTGCGTCATCGTGACATAACATCACAATAGAAATGAAACGAATACCGTTCGCCAAACGTGTAGTCTGATCTTCAGAGTCTGACCAAATCGGACTGAGACATACAACTGCCACAATATCAAGTTTAGCTCAGTTTTGTCAATTTTTGCCAGATCAGTATTAAATGTTGTTTTGTTCCAGCCAGTCTGTAAAGCATCTTACAGCCCATTTTGTTTGGCGAATGGTATTGGGTTCATTTCTGGCTGATTCCAGGTTGTTCAAGTGTTGTTCTGTCACAGCTGCCGACTGAAAAGCTGCTCAGTGGTGATGACAGTTTGGGAATTTAGTGTCGTCTCATCTTCAGAGTCTGACCAAATCGGCTGTCGGTCAAATGTGATCTTAAAAGTGTCCATTTTCTGTTTGTTTCGCAAAGTAAGAAGTAAAAACGTTCAAATGGCTTGAGTGTCTCCTCCTGCTTAGCAACGGCGTCTCAGTGGAGTGATAAAGTGTTTGTGAAAAACCTGTGATGTTATGGCGAAATAACAGTGCAGTTAGAACGCTTCTCAACCAACCAGCTTGCGAGGCCGGAACTAAGTGTTGTATAAAACTGGATATATTCTGAGCTCACTAGTAGGCTGGACAGGTAGCAGAAGGCTAAGCAGCTAAAACGCTAATGCTACAAAAAATAAATGACACACTTCTAAGTTCAAGCCTTTAAATAAAACATTACTTAAAAATGGAGACGTACAAAGTAAAGACTGTTACTTATTTACCTGCTACAAGCTTTAGCTAAATGTATTTAAACTAGATCTGACAAAAAAATCTCAAATAGCACCGAGCTATCCCCACTAGCTTGACGCTAATATAGCGAGCTACCTCGGTGAAAGGAGCGTTCCTGAAAAGCAGCTTTAAAAAGATTTCTATATTAGACATTGCTGTGAAATGCCACTCATTTATGGTTCTCTGCTTGTAGTTAACTCTCGGTGTAAACGCAATGAAACATTCGTAATGAAATGACTTTATTAGTGTGAGTAATTCCTTTAGGCTATAAATAGGATCCTCTCACTAAAGCTTTTCTTTCACACAAGGCCAGGTTTCTGTTCACAGATCGATTGAGCTACAAACATCAGCAAACAGGCATCTGTGCATCCTAACGAGAAAGATTACTGATATGTTTATTTATTCCATATTTATGTCACTACACTTCTCAGGAAAGTCTGTCTATATGTCACTCAAAGCATTATGGGGTGCAGGTAATAGGGTGGGTTGCTTTTGTGATTCCTCCTATGACCAATGAGGGGACACTCCCCTCAGATGAGACCTTCTCAGTAAATGAAGAAGATCGTGTGGCCTTTGATAACCGTATCAGTCTTTCTTTTTTCCAGGGGGTTTTTCGTTCTGCTGTTGCTATGTCTTTAAAATTCAATGTTCTTGCACGGCTGCATTGTGGGAAAGGCCAGGAGCCAATCAGGGAGCCGCACTGCCCGTTTTTTCTGTCGAGAGAGGTAAACTCGAAAACGGACAGAAGCGGTTGTAGGCTGTGCTGGACGCAGCGAAACAAGGGCTGTCTTTTAAAATTCACATTAATTTCGAGAGGACATATTTACTGTAATGCGAGAGGTGACGTTTGTTTTCACACTTTCAACCGAAACTTTTCCAGGCTGCGCCGCTGTCGTAGTTGCTATGGTGACCATAAGCGCAGACTTTGTTTGTTAGCTATGCTAAGCTAAGCTAAGCTAAGCTAAACTAAACAAAGCGGAGTTTTTCCCAACGCAGCGCGTTTCGTCCTCGGTTAAAAACCAAAATGTTGTCTTTTGAACGCTTGGACGCTTTGCGAAAGCAGAACAAGGAGCTGCTGACAAAGCTGCAGCTGCAAACCGAGAGCCTGAAGTTAGCGTGTCCGGGCGAACGGGCAGAAACGGCGGACAGCTCAGTGTCCGCTGCTGGTAATGTCGATGGATCCTCATCAGTGAAGGGAAAGAAAAGGGACCGAGGGCCTCTAACTGGGCGAAACGGTGACTTGTTTAACATATCCGATCTTGTGGTCAACACTATGGCTATGAGTGAAAAGCGGCCACATGTTGCTCGGGAAGCGCTTTGCAAACCCATGACTGGGACGAAAAGAACCGAGGTTTCTGGTGAGGGGATTTCTGAAGCATTAATATAGGTAGCAAGCTTTATACCTGCCTGTCGGCGCACAAGCTGTGGAAATTATGACGCTAGGGGAATAAACACAGGCTTTTATTAGTAGCTTATAGATTAAAAGCCACTAAAACTGCCTTTCAAAAGTTTGGAATCGCTTGTCATATGACTCGTTGTTGTTGTTTATCCAATAATAACTTATCTTAAGGGGATTTCCGCCGATTTAAAAATATATCATGTATAGTTCAGTCAGAGAGATGTGGATGAAGTCATTCAGAGTGGTTTGATGTGAAATGGTTCCATGTATATATCAGATTTCTTTACAGATTTCTTTATTTCTTTACTGGTGATAGGAACCAGGCGTTGCAGTTGCATTTCGTCATTTACTATCCAAAACGGCCGGTGAACACGCATACACGTGTCTTCTCAGTTTTATATGTAAGTTCAGTTATTGTAAAATAATGTCAAATCAGAATAAAAAGTATCTGTGGGGACTGTTTTGCCTTAGAACGCCTTGCATGTTCCCCTCCGCTGTGAATGGATTAAATAAAATGTTTTAAACTAAAACCTCTCAAAACTGTTTTGCCAGAATGTTTCAGTCACCAAGCAGTGCATTACTAACCATTGCATGTGAGTACTTCCTGTGAAGGAGCCATTCTAGGCATTAAACTCTTTGGACATCTGGTTCTTATCACCATCGCTGTGAACAAATTTATTTGAACAAGTTTCTCTAGATTGCAGTATTTCACACCAGACCACTGAATGACTTTGTGTATGTTGCAGTGCATTTCTTTATGCAGACATTTTGAAATATTGGTGGAATTTCCCTTTAAATATCATAAACTGCTCACCAAAAGTACACATTCAAGTGTTTTGGTCTCTACAGCAAAAATCTGAAATGATAAACATGTAATTTTCTGCTATTTTATGGTTTTCCATGTTTTTTTTGTCTTTACCTCTGTTTATTGATCGCCGCTTTTGAAACATGATGCAAGGATATTCATTTTACTATAACTTTATTTTTAATGTTACACAGATTTATCATTTTTATTTTCCAAACTCTTGAACGGTGGCGTAAATCAACTGCACTGTTTTCTAAGAGCTCATCTATGTATTTGTCATATTACACCTATTACAATCTTGTCATGGAGAGTTTTATGTACATCAGACCCAAAGAACAGTTGTTAATAGTTCCAGCAGTTCAGCAGCTGTAGCTGTGGTGGTTCTTTTAAAGGTGTTTTTGCTTTCAGGAGAGAGGCCAAATTATTTTGGTGATGAAGCTTTCAGGCCAGCTGAGCACATAACCGAACAAAGCCAGTCTTCAGAAGACACTACATACACCAGGCTCCTGCAAGACCAGGGAAACAGTCGCTTACATCAACAGATTGTCACTGGAGACTGGATGCAACAAAAGCCCATTCTTCTCCCGCATGACAGGGATAGGGTGAGTAGGAGGTCATTAAAGGGAATTGCACAGGTTGTTTTTCCAGAATTTCCAGAATTGTTCAATCATTGAGAGTCATTCAGAGTGGTTTTGTGCGAAGTGGTGCGTAGTAGAGAAACGTACCCCTTAGATTTTCTTCAGAATGGTGTTTGGAACAGATGTTGTAATGTCTGCAATGCAAATACAGGCATTTTATGTACTATCGAAAACGTCTAGTGAATCTATTTGTCTTCTGACTGAGCTTTCACATGCACTGTTGATATTAGTAAAATTGTGATAAATCTGGAAATGGTTGGTTGTTACACATCATCATGTACCTCTCTGTCCTGCATGTATTTTACAAAGTATGTTTTAGGCCAAAAGCTTATGTAAACTAATCTAATCTAACTAATAATCTAACTAAAAACACATTCAAAACCATTTCTTGTAATAACTTTCCGTGAAGGGGATTTTAGAGACTGTCTGGGGCCGTATTACAGAAACTTAATATCTTTTTGTCATAATTTAAGTACTGTTTCTGTAATACTGTTTTCTTTATGGTAACTTAAGAATTGGTGTTCTGTAATAGCATTTGTTCTAAATGCAGCCCTAATTGAAGTTGTCATGGTGACTAAGCACATAAGATAAAATTTCAGACTTATGAAGTTTCTGTAATACAGCCTCTGGTTTCTGTCACCTCTGTGTACTCTGTGGACTCCATAAGTTTCTCTAGAGCAGTGCATTTCACATCTGACCACTCTACATAATTTTCTTTATAACTTTACAATTGAATTATGCAAAATGTTGAAAAATTAGTGGAATTTCTCTATTTTAAGTCTAAAGGGTTTTGTCCAAGTTCAGCGTGGGCCAAAGTGCACCAACAAAGTTGTTAATTTCTTAAAGTGTTTCTTTAAGTGATTGTTTTTTGACAGTTTAATGAGTTAGGGGTGTAGCAGTAAACATTTTCAAGTCCAACATGGTTTTTGGTTTTGAGGGAGTCGATTGAGTGTGGGTCAGTGCATAGCCCCTCCCCTGCCTGTCTACTTAACTCTGATAAGCTCAGTGAGGGATGTGCATTCCGACTAAGTTTGATATTTGAGTATCTAATGAACGGATAGTTGGTTAACTGCAGGGATGGAAAAAAGGTTGCACCATTAAAAATAGCAGCACAGAGAAATATGTTTGAAAATGGTATTGAGTTTTTAATATTATGTTATATATTTCTATATATGTATAGAAATTTTTACCCCCTCACTATCAGTTGGTAATGTAACTTATTTTATCTATGAATGAGTAAGAAGAGTAGGTTGTATTGCCTAATACTGTAAACGATTTTGACTGGGTGTTACATGTATTGATGTTGCAGAGAGGCTTGGACAAAGTTTCATTTCAGTCACCTGGCCAGGAGCTAGAGACCACAGCAGAGAGACGACATATGCAGCCCTTACTAGGCTACGACTGGATAGCTGGTAAGTCCTTCAGTTTTAACCCCTTAACATTCTTGGCCCACTGGCAGATCCAGACTTTCATTTCTCACTACTATAGCTTAACAACAATGAGCCTCATTAACCAGCCATTCCGAAGAAGAAAATACTTCTTAAAACCCACTTACGCAGTTTTCACGAAGATTCTGACATTCACTATTATTTGGGATTTGTTCTTAGGTTAGAACAGAATCTACACACACTCAAGAGCACAAAAGTTTCTCCCCAATTTAGTCGTCTCCAATTCCACCCGCTAGTTAGGACTCCACCAATGAGACGATACTGTCAACGCTAGGAGGGCGAAGGCTAACACAGGCTTCGTCCGAGACCTGTGAAGCGCCGTCACATCTTTTAGAACTGCCACGCAACGTCATTGGATAGCTGAACGCACTCAGAGGAAAGCGCCAACCGCCAGATATGTTATGTCAGTTAACGGACGCCTGCGCTGACTATGGGGGGAGAAGGGGGGCCATCCTACCCACCCACAGAGCGAGGCCAATAGTACTCCCGGCCACGGACGGCTATAGTATCACCAGGGATCGAACTCACGATCTCCTGATGATAAGGCCAACACTTAGACGGTTGCGACACTTGGGAGCCCCCACAATTCTGCAGTTTAAGAAAATGTCATGAATCTGACGTACACTTCTTCTTAAAACCTTTCTCAAGAACACGTTTTAGAAAAAAATGAGGAACACGGTGAATGAGGCTTGATGATTTTGCATTATTTTATAGCTAGTTGCTGAATAATTAGGAGTTAAGTAAATTTAGAAGGGAAATGACTGTAGATTGCAAGACTTGTCACTATAGAAACAGATAAAAGGCCTGTTTTTAAAAACAGTGCCTCAGATCAAATGCTGCTTTTATCTTCTTTCAGGCTTGCTTGATGCAGAGAGCTCCTTGGCTGAGCGCTCGGAGCAGTTCTTCAGTGAGCTCCGCAGCTTTCGCCAGGTCAACAAAGATGAATGTATCCACAGCCAGTCTTCAGGGTCAGAAATGTTGTCTTTCATCACACCAAACCACACCATGCGTAAATCCTGTATTGTGTAATCTTTACACTTGTCACGCAGAAGATTATGGCTCACTCCTTCTTGCAGAGCTGTTTCCTCTCTTTGCTGTGCACTGTTCTTTTCCTGTCCTGGTGCATCAGATCAATGGGGTGTATGTCTGCAAAATCGGATTTACATAATTTCCCCTCTTAACCTTGTAGATAACAGTATGTCACGTAGTGTCACAGATAAGTCAAGTAGATTTAAGACTGCTTAACAGCTTAATGTGGTTTGAGGCAAATCCGTGATGATTTACTTGTGTAGTTTGCATTGTGCTTACCTGATGGCTGTGATCTTCCATTACTTACATTTGTATCTCCAGTGCAAAACAAAACAAGCAAATTTCAGACACTTTTTGGCTGAACTATCATATTACATTTCCCCTTTTTTGAAGCATTGTGGTGAGGATATTGTTGTGTGTTGTGATAGTCTTGCTGCAAAACCCATTTAAGCTGATGATAAAAAGAGAAAATGGAAAAAGCTTATAGGAATTGTATGGTTGAGATTCATACACTCTCAAACTCTTGATTTTCTCTTTTATTTACCTTTGTCTGTCATTCTTTTCTTTTTACAGCCTTCCTCTTGTAACAGACCTTTGGTCATCCTCAGCAGAAGAAGATACTGACCAAGAGCATACTCCAGATACTCACCAGTGTATGACCCTCGTGTGTTTAGTAAATGGCCGCATTAGTTCTAGGATAATTTAAAGTTAACCCTTAAAAGTCAAGAGTTTTTGCTGCTGATAGCATGAGCACACAAGCCTGAGCACAATATTATTTATTTCTGACTTGTAGCTCATTAAAATACTTGCAGAAATTCTGTAGGAAGATTCTAAACTTTCACTCCATACCGCAGTTGTGTTTGTATGTAGAAAAGGGGATGTTATGATATGATTTGTATTGGATGAAAGTTCTGCTGTTCTGCATATGGTCTTGTTATGCAGAAAGAAAAAAAATGTCCTTTGTCCTCACATTTGTCAGTATTGACATCAAAAAAATCGAAATTTCTGTAGATACAGAATATAAATCAAGTGTAAATGTAATTAATTGTGTTAGTATGCTATTAAGCAAGAAACAGTGCAATTTTGAATGGTGTACCTTTGAGTACTATTGCTGAACGAAAGTAATATCTCGACTTCTGTAGTTTAAATCTGTTAATGGCACGGCGAGTGATATAGTTTAACACTTGTTTTTCATTGTTGTTTGATCCTCAGGCACATTCTGCTACCGAATAAACAGTCGTCTGTTTGCCACTCCTCTGGATACTCCGGCTGCGTGTCCCATTTGCAAGATGCCCAAAGTCATACACCCACACACTGAGAAGGAACCTGCCTTTATTAGGTTAGAATGTAAACAGAGAGATTGTGCCTATGATGAATTTTATGTTTGTCACACAAATGTAAAAGTTACATTTTAATCTTCTGTCTGGAACAGGGTCAGTATTCCCCGTTCAACGCTTCTGCCTGCATATCGATACAAAGCCCATCGTCGCTGTAGTTTTGATCCAACAGACAGTCTTGGTTTGCCCTCTGTGAGTTTGCACTGGAAATACATTTACAGGCATACTACAAAGCATAGTAGGTTGATTAAAATAAGTTTTCTTTTACCACAAAACAGCTGATTAGTGTTGAAGAGTTGAGCTGGAGGGTGTTCCACAAAGCAGGTTTTCTCAGTTAGCCAGGTCACTTAAGCCCAAAGTTTGAGGTAAGCAACATTCTTGTCAGACTATCCTTAAATTGGGCTTAAAGGTATATTATGAATGATTTATCTTTTTGTCAAAAATACAAAGTAGCATGCAAGCTGCACTGTAAATGTACTCAAAATAAAAAAATAAAGCCGCTGTTGACTTAGAGTTTTTATAACCCTGTCATACATTTTTATGGATTGACGTTGGAATATTATCCTCAGAATATGTTCTCGCTGGATAAGGTGGACACTCAAGTACCAAGTGTTGATATTACTGACAGTACCATGAAAGTGTAATTAGCATAGTGGATAACCAGTCGCCCCTCACATGGAAGAGGTGGGTTAATCCCACTGTAATGCCAATGAGTCCTTGTGATAGATGGCAAATGTTACATCCAGTTAACATTGTAAGCAGCCTATTGAACATAGAAGATACTTTGAAACAACAGCCACAGCTTCCCAAGGGTATGCAGCACATCTGACATTACAAAGTTCTTCTGTAAGGTGTTCGAAATTCCATATTTTTACCACCATGTACCCTATCATACAGAGGGGACCAAAAGCTGTTTTGCATTCCTTTGTATTTTAATGCTAAATTTAATGCTTACTTTCATTACAAATAGTATTATCAGCATAACAAGTTTAATGAAAAGTAGAATCATTAAGGGTTAACATGAATTTCGTAATTTCTTGTGTGTGTGTGTTTGGTAGGTGTAATGACAGTGTGCACTCAAGCTTGCATGGATTCCTTAAGTTTCTGCAAGAGCCTCTGATCAGTAGACCAAATCCACCTGAGAGTGTTTCAGTTTGAATAGTAACCTAGAATAGTGCAAAATTTTAAATATAAGTTAAATCTAAATTGTCATAACATTGTCACAACATAAAAACATTTCAAATTTTTCAGATTTCTAACACTTTCCCTTGTTTATTTCCAGGTTTAAATAAATAAAAAGAACAACAACAAAAAACAGATTTTCAGTGTTGTCTCAGACCTTTGGTGTTTCAGTGCCTCCATCTTTACTGAGAATTCCTGCTTTGTAAAATACTCTCCTGAATTACTGGGGAATGCTGCTTTCTCAGATGCTCATGGACATAATTATGATTCCTGTTGCAGCACTGTTTGTCTGGATGGTCGAACTCCAGCCTGAAAACAGGCTCCCAGATGAGCAGTCTAGATCTTAGAAGTTCACTGGTGAGCAGGCCGGATACAGGGCCATCTGGCCAGCCTGAGCACCAGCTGGTAAGTACAAGCCAGATTGTTATTATATATTACTTTGCATTGTCCTTTTTTGGTTTTCAAAACTAGTTTCTCCATAATCTGTTTACTTTGTATTTATGCATTGTAATAACCACCATGAACAGGTACAAGAAGGCAGATAAATTAGTGTAGGATGGATCTGTTCGTAAAATAATGACATATTGTGTCAGTCAGAGCTCTAAACGTCACAGTTAATGATGACATTACAGGGCAGCTGCTCACAGACTGCCTCCCTGCTCTATGAGTACTGCAGTATTTACTTTAGAATGATAATCAGGTCATACACAACATATGTTGACAGCATGATAGGGTGTTTTTAGGAAGGTCTTAGGGTAGATTTTGAGAAAATTTTACAAAATTCTCTCTATGTGATTTTAACAGAGTTTAATATTGTCATTCTATAACACTGTTGTGTATGTATGTTATTTATACAAATACAGTACATTTATTTAATATTTTAAACTGTACTATAGATTTGTAGCATAGCTACAAATATGAGCAACGCCTGCACAAAACCCCACCGTTTCCTGATTTCCCTGCCACAGAATAACTTTTGTTATGCAATATTCACAAAAATTGCCTAAAATCTGTATATGTATAATTGTGTATGCCAGTCAGCTTGCTGGTTACCCCATTGCAGGGAAAGCCACCCTCATTGTCGACATCTGAGCAAGCGCAGAAGCCAGAACAACCCAAAAAACCTGTTCTGCATTATTGAACCGAACAGTACAAACTATTTAGGTTTTTGTCAGATTTTTTCGATTTCAAATTTTGAAATGGAAATTTTACCTTTAGTTTTGAGTTTTTAGGTCTCTCCCTATTCAAACGAGAAAGAAGCCTGGTCTTGTACTGCTGTAAATAACTGCCAGGCGGCATTGCAAAGATGGCTACTAAGTGGCTTTTCTAATCACATTGTCAGACATAAATAGAGTGCTTTAAATAATTTTTGCAATTTTGCAATAGCAGCTGTATGAGGGTGAAATGGCTTCGGTTGTGAGGAATCAGCGGAACTTTTTTTTAGAGCTTAGTTTCAGATGATGATTAATAGATTTAAGATTAAACCGCCTGCAGTTATATTTTTAGTTTTTTGCGGGCTTAGTGTTTTCATTAGCGTTTGGTGTTTGAAAGAGCTAATTGATTGTTTGAACTTGTCTATTAAAACAAGTGTATATAGATTATTCTCTCTAGTATTCTTGAATGATGAACTTTTTGAGAACATTTTTTCCCCGAATAATTCGAGTTTCAGGGTTTTTTCCCCTTTCTTCTTAATGGAAAAACAGGTAGCACTGAGTTCTTCTAGCTCTAAACATGTTTTGACTTTGATTTTAACCTACCTGTGTGTTTGCCTCTGTGCAGACTGGTTTCTTTGTTTAGTTTATTTATTTTTTGCATGTCTGCAACTGTTCCATTGCCACGCTGTGACATTTAAATGTTGGGATTTCCTGAGGTTCATCTGGGTGTAGGAATCAGCCAGAGAAAAGGCCAGATCTGATCTTTTTTTTATGTTCAAAAACAAGGTTTACATCTGTGACCTTCTGTTTTAGGTGCTTTTATGTATTCTGATTGTCTTTCAGCCAGTGTTTGGAGCCCCTGAGGGGATGTGATGGGGGATGAGTGACTACTTTAAAAAACACAAATACATAAAATATATACCCTGCCATCATTGCGAAACATGTTGTTTAAATCTCTTCATAATAGTCTTATCTTGTGATCATGACGATTAAGACTACACCTGCCGCCAACACATCAGGGTGTGTTGCCAACTGTCTTGCTATTTTCTTTTGAATGCAATGAGATTCCATTGAATTCCTGTGGGCTCTGTAAAAATTATCACAGCTGCCTTTTTAGCAGAATGAGTTTCTGAAAAGAAGCCTCATCCTCACCATGGTTAAACATTAAAACATCTATAAAAAAGTACTTCTGTTTTTTTTTTTTTGCAGATTGTTCTGTTCATTGCCTATAAGAAGTCATGGTCATTGGTGTGACTCAGAAATCACACTGAGGCCCATGGCGCAGAAGAGCACATGCTGACCGGGCCACTCATATAGATACTGATAGAATTTTACACCCATGACACAGAATGATCCAGTTTCTAACAACAGACCTCCAGTTCTTCCTCCTTCCATCAACAATACATTGACAGAAGATCAGAAAGACTCAATTCACAGAGTACATTAAAATGTGCATTTTACTGTGGTGAACTGTGACAAAGCTGGGCGTTCGGTTTGGCCTATAAATGTCTTGGTCATCTCGTTTAAGAACAAGGAAAAAAGCAGCCCCTCTCTATAATGCTATATACTGCTAGTGGACATAAGAGATTCTAGCAATTCACATGAACATTTTGGCCCTTCTAAATTAAACACAGACAAATGTTGTAAAGCTTTAAAAAGACATTCCATTATTTGAAGCTACTAACAGACGTATTAAATGTTCGTATATTCTTATGTTAATCTGACACATCAGGCCTTCAGTTCAGCTCCTGAAGTCCTAAACAATGGCAGTTCTCTCTTAGCTCTGTTTACCTAGATATCACAGAGAGAAATAAATCCTGATTGGATCATTTTCTAATGGGTGCTTCAAAGATTTAACCCTTTTGTTTCCAGCTAAAACTTAACAATGGAATAAATAATACTACAGTACTTGTGCAGTTCAAATACAACAAGAATACTGCTAATATTAAAGTAAACTAAAAATTACATCTATTTTTGTATTTCACAGAAATCATTAAGTCTAAAAGGCTCTGAGGGTTCCCCTCTGGGATTTTATGAAAATATGTCAGCAAAGGCTCTCTGAACCTTCTTATTTGGTGTACATGCAAACAACATTTGTTCATTTTAAATGCAGAATGTACCAGTCTTGTGATTGTGTATAATGCAAATGATGTGCGGTTTTTAGAATGGTCTCAATTAATAATAGATGTGGGGTCTCAAAAGAGGATTTCGTACAAACTGACCTTTTGAACTTGGTAAGCAGCAGATTTGAACAAATAAATCAAAATAACTAAAAAACGGTCCAATATTTGGATATAACTTGTATTTGCATAGTTTTTCAAGTCATTGAACTAAATAATTCCACAGCAATTACTCTTGTTTTAGTCTCAGAGTACACCAGATATCATGTTGAAATTACTGAAAAAATCTCCTCACAATGATGGAACCAGACAGGGGATTGGTTTCTGAACTGCTCATGAGTTTTGATCCAGATAGGTAGAAAAGCATCAAATTTATGTTGCTGTCAGATGCCAGTGGGTGGAGCCTTCAGAGCATTGAGAAATGACAATTTCATTGTCTTTGTTTTCTTTTTTATTATTGTTCATTAAAGCATGGGGTGGCTGACTAGTCAAAAATAAATAAAACACAAAATTTTATACATAAAAATAAATTGGTCTGCCTGCCTGCCAGAGGACATTGTTAAACTTCTTAAGGATCTTTTGATCTGTGACATCCGCCGCCAACACAATAGGTGTGCCTGTTTTCCAGTGCACTCTATAGGAAGTGGCCGCTCTGCTGAAGATACCGTGAGCTTCGAAGTCTTCAAAGTTCAGAAAAGTGAGGCCATTTTCTTAACAGCTGAGCAATCCTGAAAGATTGCTTGGAGGCTGGACAGCTTTCCATAACAGCATCAACAGAGATGGAGAGAAATGGCTCATTCAGGGACAGTGACAGTTGAAAGATCAACCTCATCCTCACCATGGTTAAACATTAACCTAGCTAACCGGAGCGATAGGACTCATGGTGAAACTGAACGGTCCATTGTTCTGGTTTCACTGTGTGAGAAAAAAAGCTGTTTGTAGCCCTGTATTTACTCACAACTCAAAACAGACGATCATTATGAAAAAAGATCTTGAGATTAAACTTCCCACAGTGTCCTCTGGCAGTTAGGTAGTACCTAACTATTAAAACACTTCTCTGTGACTCACATTATATAATATTAGTGTGATTTCTCATTGGTGTTCTTTTTTGTACTTGTCTTAGAATTTGTCGGCGTCCAGAGTATCAGGAAACCAGCGTTCTGACCAGCTGCTGGACGCGTCTCGTCTGGCACGATACCGCTTCCAGCACCTTGGCCCTGCGAGGACTAAGCCAAATAAGAGCTCCTATCCTGTGTACTGATGCTTCCACTCTTCCAGCCATAACTGAATGGCCCTCTCTGTGTATACTGTACGCTATGACTGCTGGACTTTACAGTAATGCAAATGATGTTTCACAGCCTGTCTTTTCTTCGTATTCACATTTTCATAGCACAGTAATGATTCTGAATTCACAGTTTGATCTTATCCCATTTTGCCAGGTGGCAGATTTCAATCTCTTACTGATATCACTGTTGCTGTGAAATAGTGTTCGACTCAAAAAAAGTGATGTAGCCATGTGTCTTTTTTTTTTTTTGCCCTGTGGTTTTAGCAGTCAAGATAAAAAGTGAGGCGATAATAATTAAAGGTCAGGCCAAATGATTGGAAATGAAACCCGCAGCCCAGATGTGTCCTTACATCAAAGCTTAAACGCTGTCTAGAAAGTAGCCCTTTCTATGGGCAAACTGGCCCACTACATCTTGTTGCCATGTATGGATTTTAGCCATCACACTTTCTGTATATGTGGGCCCATTTGTCTTGTTAATACCGGGTTACTAATGTTTATGGTTTAGCTACCATAGAGAACCCTTTGATAAGAATTTATTAACTCTTGCATGGGACAATCAGTAGAACAGAAGCTTGTTACTGTGAAATAACAATGATCAGTTATTGTACTGTTACTGCTGATGTCACTTCTGCTATGCAGTCTGTAGCTTGTGAAATGAATCATTTTTAAAAAAACTGGATTATTAATGGGCTCATTTCGTGGAAAAAAAACTAATGAATTGGTTTGATGTCATCAATTTTTAAAGGTTCAGTACATACTGTTCACTCTCCATTCCACATATGGAAACTAAGCTGCAAAAATGGCCTGTTTTGAAAACATTTTTGTGATGTCATGAAAACCGATATATTTACGTATATGTGCTTCTTCAGCCTACAGCAGTGCGGCCACGCCCATTCACGCTTTAATACACCTTAAAGACTGCTTCTTAAATGAGCCACGATACAGGGTGACCAATCAGAACACAGCTCATTTCCGTATATCAGTATATTAGAGGCACAGTAACAAAGCCAGCCTGTCTAATTGTAAAGGATTAGAGAGAGGGTGAAAAATGTTAATGAATGATGTAATAAATTGAATAATTTTTTTTGGCCCATCAGTAAACACGTTTTGTTTTTTTTTAATTCATATACTTGGTTAAGACCAGAGCCATGGCCAGAGGTGGCGAGGGCCACCGTAGAATGAAGCATGGCCACCCCTATTATGGAAACTGACAGACTGTTTGATGGTAAGATGCATATCAGAGGTTAGTCAGCTATAATTGTTTACCACGCTAACTGATTTCGTTTTACAGCTGAATACATGCGTGTGTTTTAGTATTCCATTATACAGGTTTGTCTGTCCAGCTTTGTAATCATTGGACTGATGCATAAGCTGTAGCGAAAGCACCCTAAATGAAAGACTACTGTGGCCAGTCTAGATGATTTTTTTATTTAGAGTCAACGCTGCACTGAAAAAGTGATTTAATTTGCTTAATTCAAACACATCATTTCATCATGAATGACTAATAAAATAATAATAATAATAAAAATCAAAGTTTCATACGCTACATCAACACAGCTTTGTCTTTCAGTTTACTTTTGCCAATAATTGAATTGATGTAAGCTGCTTTTTTATTCATGAGGAAATTGTGGACATAAATTATGTACAGACCAAACCAGTGCATCACTTTTTATGTCATTTTAATACAGTAAGGCTCTTTTATGTGGGTTTTTTTTGTTCTAGCAGTGTGCTACCCCAATAAATCTCTGGGTTTTACCTGCCCACTGCATGGCCCTGATTAAAGGGGAACTCCACCGATTTTTCAAAATTTCTGTACGATTCAGTAGCTGAGATGTAAACTAAGTTATTGAGAGTGGTTTGATGTAAAGTGGTTAATTGTAGAGAAACTTAACAACTCAGATTTTGTTTACAGTGGTGGTGATGGGAACCAGGAGTTCTGATGTTTACAGCACAAGCCATTTTACTTGCTAACCAAAACCCCCAGTGAACCTACGTGCGTTTTCTGAGTTTTTCTACGTAATGTTGATGGTGGTAAAATAAATGTCAATCTGAAAAAGTTTTCTTTAGGGACTATGTTGTTGTAGAACACCCTTTACGTATCCTCCCACCATTAATGGATTAAAACACGTTTTATACCAAACCTTCATCACAAAACACTGCCTCAGATACCAGACAGCATATTCATAAACACTTGTAATAACTTACAAAGCATTTGTAATAATAACTTGAGCTGTGAGGGGCTTTTTAGAGGCGTTAGATTCCTCAGACGTCTGGTTCCCATCACCATCACTGTGACACTGCGTCTCAATTCAGACTGTACGTTTCTCTAGAACAGCATTTCACACCAGACCGATCTGAATGGTTCTGTTAACATAGTAAAGCACACATTGGGAAAAAAATAGGAGGGGTGTGTTCTCTTTAATTCCTCCCACAGTCTGATTGCCCATAGGTGTGTGTGTGTGTGTGTGTGTGCGTGTGGATATACATGTCTGTGTGTCTGTCCTGCGATGGACTGCCGACCTGTCCAGGATGTATCCTGCCTTCCGCCCAGTGACCACTGGGATAGGCTCCAGCTCCCACCGCGACCCAGAAGGATGAGCAGTTTAGAAAGTGTGTGTGTGTGTGTGTGTGTTTGTGTGTGTGTTCGTGTATGTGTTTTACACGTCACAGTCAGAGCCTTTATAAGGCGGCAACTTCGAAACCATGAGATTTCCCCTCAGCAGAACTGCTCTGTCGCTTCAGCTGGCCTCACTGGCAGCGGTTGGCCGAGGCAAACGGGATAAAATACTCATTGACCATCATGACAAAGTCGTCGTCTCCACCGTGGCTGGGAGCTTTTCTTCTGCTGTGTCTGGTAAGAGCGAGTTCCTCTGTGCGTTTTTGGTGGTTGGTGTTTTTCTCCCTGGGGACTCCAGTGTCTCTCACTTCGCTTTTAGCACCAGCACCGTTCTGGGTGCTACTGCTTGAGTCTTTTACAAATCTTTTGGGACGGAAAGAGACCATTTCTTCCTAACCACGGGCTTTTAAATGTCTTTTTCTTTGCGGATGTGGAGCTTCAGTTGTGGTGAATGAATTAGCCGCATGTTTAACATAGACGCTGTGCTGAATGGGGATATCACTTCTGTATCAAACTGCTGTTGGTATGTGATGCTACTGAATTCTGAGGTAATTTTTTTTAACCCTCCTATTATCTTTGTGGTCAGTCTGACTTCGTTATAATAAATGACTGACATCATTTTTTTTTGTGGCAGAGAAACAAAGTACCTGACGTTAACCTGGCTAACAGTTTTAACCCTAATCGCTCTGTGGAGGTTTAAGTCGTTTGACCCTATCAGGATGAAGATGTTGGTGAATTGGAAGATGACTGGAGGGGTTAATCGATTTCACAATCTATAAAACCGTTACGATTTCACATTGCTTTCATTTCATCTAACCTGCTCCACATCACAAGAGCTCCACTCTCGTTTGCGTTTCATCCATTTCCTCTCTAATACTGGCCTGCTTTTTTTTTCATGTGGTGTTTTAAGTCATCAGTGAATTTCCAGAAATCAGAGATTATAGGTGACAGTGCAGTGCAAACTTACTGGTAGGCTTCATACTCATTTCTAGCATCCACCAGTCAGCTTGATGCTGAACCACAAATAACGTGGCTTGCTTTTGTGATCTTACACACAGTCCTCAGAGCAGATCAATAATGGGGTCATGGTGGCCATGAGGTTTTTTTTTTGTTTTGTTTTTTTTTTTTTTTTTTTAAATAAAGTGTTTTGGTCATGAAGCCTCCAACTGAGGACCGCTGCAGTAATCATGTGGATGTGTTCTGGCCATGAACTTTAGCTTTTTGTTCTTATCTGCTCTGCTTTTGCGCACTTGGGGAGGTGATGTTGTCACCCATGGTGTCCTTTTGGAGGCCCTGTTTTCCGGTCACCCAGTCATAAACATGTGTTTTGCAATCTGTTCCTCAGAAAGGTCATCTAAACATGATATCCAGCTTGTCACCACCTGCTTACGCTCCTTGTGTAACATGCAAAAGCAGTCAAATTGTGGGGATTTTGGGGGGGCTGGAGGACTTTTTGAAGAAGATTTACGAAGACAGGAGGGAAAAGTGGATGCAGAAGTGCGTTAGTTAATAAATGGCAGCAGTTTTGCATCACCAGATGGCTGCATTACGACTCCTTCCAGTAAGGCCCCAGTAAAATGACTGGTCTGCAGAATTTATGGCACTGCCATGGTGGCATTTAGTTTTGTGTTGTTAGTTTAGAGTTTGTGTTGCTGTGGTTTATGTCATGAGCTGACCTCAGAATTATATTTAGTGTGGATTCTGAGAACTGGTCTGTACTGGTTTCCCATGCATCGGCCACCACGTTAACCATTAATGCATTTATTTGAGTGAATGATGAGTAATAATGTATAGTTGTTGAGGCCTAATTGACCTTCTACCCCTTCCTCCTCTTCTAGCTGCCTCCAGCTGCGCCTAGAGCGTGCCCAAGTCAGTGTGAAACTGGTAAGTCCAGGCCTGCCAGTTATACTGGAGAATTAAAAGTACACTTTTTTAATTCAGTGGAACTGTTTTTGTAGGTGAATCAAAGCAATCCAAACGTTAAAATCTTTGCACATATTGATCAAGCTTTACCCATTTGCTGAGAGGTGGGGGTTTTCCCATTTTGTTGAAGAACAACAGTCAACATCATATTTAAGGGATTCAAAAACAGACAGACTTCCTCAGAAGGCACAGTAGTGAGTTAATACTGTGTAGTCACGGCTAGGTTAACACACGCTTAGTTGTGTAGTAATAACTCACATCAATGTCAGGCTGTCATGAGGTTTTAAACAAGGTTTTTTCCTCACTTCCCAAAGGCAAATCCCTGGCTGTGCTATGAGATGAGAGCACAGAGCTCGTATCCTTGGGGCACGCATGCAAATTTATTATCTTTTGTGACATCACATCATGGCTCAGTGGATGGAAATTCCAGTGAGTGGAATTCCACTCACCTTTCCTAGGTATTGAGTAGATGCAGGAAATATCAGCACGTGAATACATGCTTTTTATAGACCTCTGACCTTCAATAAAGAGGAAGCGCTTTCAGACTTCTCTTTTCATTTATGCTCCATAGACAGGAAATCAAGTGCAATTTCAGACACCTGAAATACACCCCTTGGGTGTCGTCCCGGTCCGAGCTGGCGCTCTTTTTATTTCTGAGCTGATCCGTATCACCGAGCTTTAATACAATTCGAGTGTCACCTTAACAAAAAGGAGATGTTGGTGATGCACCCAGTTTTCTTCCACTGACCCATCACACAACACAAAATGGAAAAATTTGTGTTTCCTTTTGACTGACCAACAGTAAAGGGCAGAAAGTAGAATGCTGCTTTCTGAGTCAGGGGCCAATGGGTTTTCTGCCATCTGTTCACAGCCTCCTTGTTTGTGCACCAGCCTTCCATGTTGTATACAATGCTTGATTTTACTGTCAACTTTCAAACAGTCTCAAGTTATCTTGAAAACGATAGTCAGCTAGTCATTTCTGGATTGCCTCATGGGTGCACAGTCATTGTGTATAACAGATGGTAGTGTCAAGGCTAGTTGTGTTATGACTTTTGATGCTGTGAAAATACCGAAACTCTGGGAATGATTCTAATGTCAGATGTAATGCTTCTGCTGTGCTGCTTTGTCCCTACAACCAGGCTTCGTCTTAAGGGATTGTAAGTGTGTGCCATGCAACCATGGCCAGTACTGGTACATAAGAAGCGGAGAGGGCCGATGCGAGAAGTGCATCCCCAGCTGCTCTGGTAAGATGATGGATGTGCGAAATCTGTATTACTAATTCATTTCTTCTCTGGAACACATCACAAATGACTGTACATAGTGTTAAAAGTAGGGTATGCAGAAATGCATCTGAAGTTGGTGAATCAGCTGCACAAGTTTAGAATAAATTCTGTCCAAGTACAACATTAAAGGGCCTATTTCATAGAAAACTGCATTGTCCTTGCTTTTTTGAAATAATGTTGTATAGATGTGGTATTAAATGCTAGGAAAGTTCCAAAACCATTCACTAACCAGTCCAAGTGCAAAAAGAGCCTGTTTTGAATCCTCTGTTTTGTGAAGTCACGTACACCTGCTCATTTGCATATATCCACCTATTTAGCCCACAGCAGTTTAGCTCTGCCTAGTCATGTTGATATAAGGAGTGTTTTAGTCTGGGCTGCTTTTTGAATGCAGCAACAATAAAAGGAATCTGGTCATATTATTCCTTTCATTTATCAGTCTTAAAAACACAGTATTAATTTAATTCTAATAGATAAAGAGAGGTAGGGAATGTTACTATTTTCGGTATATAAAACCACACTAACATTATAAAATTGATACAAAATACAAGAATAATGTAGAATAATGGCCCTTTAATAAAAATCTCACGCTACTGTTATACATAAAAATCCACGAAAGAAAGCCTGTTGTGTTGTTTGTGTCCTCTAATGACATTTATGTACTCAGTGTGTTTAAAAAAAAAAAATCCAGAATCATATCAAAGTCATTTAAGCCAATCAAAGTGTGGTTGATTTTAACACGTCATTCAGTTGTTTCCTAATGAAAATGGATTTAAATGGATTTTTGCAAAGATTTACAGCCCTAGTTACAAATCAAGTATATGCTGAATCACTCAAGTGTCTTTATGGCTCACTGTCTGTGTCTGTATGTGTGCAGATAAGGAAAACAAAGTAGAAGTAAAAGCCTGCACTGTGACAACAAGGCGCGAGTGCCACTGCAAGCCAGGATTCTTCTGCCCAAGTCCAACAGAAATTAACTGCCGGAGGGAGTGTGAGCCCTGCGAAGCCGGCACCTTCTCCAGCACAGCATCTCTAAAGGGAAAGTGTCAGCCTTACACTGAGTAAGTATCAGTCTAATTTCACATTTGTTAGCATCAAAGACAACAGAGAATACTAGTGCACTTCAGGTCTTTAACCCTCCACATGTAATGCTTACAGGGGAGTTCCACCAATTTTTTAAAAATTCAGCATACTTAAATGTTTAAGGTGTAAATTAAGTCAGTCAGAGTGGTTTGATTTGAAATGCTTCTTTCCAGAGAAACTTTCAGTCAAATCTGTTCATATTGGTGGTGATAGGAACCAAATAACCGAAGCAGTATATCCCAGAAAGATATTCCATGAAATGGTTACGAATATGCTGCCTGATGCCTGAGACATCCTTTTACGATTTGAGGTAACGTTTGGCCTTAAACATAATTTTTAAAACATGTTCATGGCGGAGAGGTACATGCGTGGTGCTGTGAGACAAAATAGTTCCCAAAAAAACATATTTTTCTGATTTACCACTGTTTTTCCCATCATTAACACTACATATAGAAGCTCAGAAGACACATGTAGGTTTACTGGTAGTTTTGGATAGTGAATAAAATGGCTAAATGGCCTCTGGTTCCTGTCACCACCACTGTAAAGAAATCAGATTCTGTAAATTTCTCTACAGTGAGCCTTTTCACATCTAATCATTCTGAATGACAACACAGTGGATCAGGACTACTATATTGTTTGCTAGTGATCATATATTCCGAAATATTTTACAGGGATGAATCAGGATAACGTAGCACAAAGGCCTCATCAAATGGTCTTTGAGGAATGCTTATTACAGCATGGCTGACTTAACTGAGGAGCTTGCATCTCCTCAGTGAACTCAGCAAAAGCCAGAGTGTATCCTGTCATGCAATGATTTTGTCACGTGGTTGAGTAGTTGGGCTGAGTGTGTCTCTTCTGAACCTTCTGAAGTGCTCAGCATTTCTCCATATTCACTTTCAGTGACACGGGGGTGTACGCAAAGCTTTCACCTTCAAGATGGGTGCTGGATGCATGTGTACACTGTTGAATCTATGGATTGTAGAGGTCAGAGATTAAATCTAGCACTGACCTCATTCATATTACATAATACCGATTACATAGTGAACTGGTCAATTTTACCTTGAACGAATGGTTCTAGAACCATTACGTTGTGTGGAGGTTCTTTAAACCTTAAAGTTTTAAACATTCGCGCATCTCATTTACAAAAATGATTCTTTGAAGAAACATTCATTAAAAGGAGCCAAAAGTGGCATTGCTGGTAGGTGTCAGTTAGCTAAATGCTACAGAGGACAAACTTTTCTCAACTGAACTTCCCTGAGAAAACATTTAGCCGTCTGGCTAACTGATTTTAGCTGAACAGCTACTGTCCATTGTTCTTTTTGTTTTGCCGTCTTGGAATATCAAGTACAGCAGCTCTTTATTAACTAAAGCTATTCTTATGTTCTGTTGGTTCTCATAGCTAATTCTGCTAATGTAAGCTAACATTCAAGGTGAGCTAACTAGATTACTTGCTAGTTAGCATAGGTAGCCATTAAGGCTGCTGAAGCCGTGAGCAGTGGAGGTTCCTTCTCCAATGTAGTTGATTAGCTTATAGTAATTATTTGAGCAGTATTTCAAGAAGCAAATCATTTTCTTTATTAATGCTTTCATGTCAGGAGAACAATCAGCGCCGTAGCATTACTCTTACTTACGTAGGCAATTTCACTGCCCTTACAAGTAAAGATAGAGGAGACTCGGAATAAATACATCAGTCGTTATTCGGAAGATGTGCTTTTGCTTTGAACAATGCAAGTTATAATGAATATAACGAAGCTAAAATGTATAGTAGATCAGATCCACCCTGCAGGTTTATCAGTGAGGCACAGCCGCATTACTGGCTGTTGCAGATAGGCTTTGTTTTGCATGTTTCCACTCATGTAAAGACATGTGAGGTGGACTGTAAAGTGGAGCAAAAGTTTTCTGTGATAAATCTGCAGCCTCAGAAGCCTCTTTGTGATCTTTCATTGCCAGGAACAGGATTAGGACATAACACCCACATCTAGATCAGGCTTACTGGGCGTGAATGATCTTTCTTATGTCTCAAGTAGGACTGTAACTTTCAGCTATATCAAATTGTTTGCGTCCGATTTTTAGTTGTTGGGTCTTTTAAAAATGCCGAATGGACGTAGCAGAAGAAAAAACGAACTATGAATACACTTTTAAAGATTCCAAAATGCTTTATCGGAAAACAGACCAGTCTTTAAAGCTTCTAAAAAGACTTCCATCAAACAAAGATGTAAAAACACTGTAGCCAAACAGTACATATTAGCTCTGGTATGGTAGGTATGTTCTCTATTTATCGTCCATACAAATTGCCAGCAAAAATGTGGATTAATTGAGAGGGTATATTTTTTAACAATTTTAATTAATTGTTGTGGCCTAGTTTAGTGTGCACTAACGTGGTTTTATGTCCCCTTCAGTTGTGCCAGTGAAGGGATGGTGCTACTGAGAGAAGGTTCGTCCACTGAGGACCGAGTGTGTATCCCCCCCCCGACTACCCCCATCCCAACACCTACCAATGAACCCATGAACACACCTACATCCATATCCACCCCAGCACCCACCATCACCCCTACACCCACCTCTACACCCATGACCACCTCTAAATCTGTGACTGTCCCCTTTACTATGATCTTCGCACCTAAAACTGATGCACCGTCCACCGTGACCCCTGCCGTAGCTACCACTAGCCATCAGTCCACCAACGGATTGAAGCAGCAGACTTTGAAGAGCACGCATCAACTTCGAACCACGGGTTACATGAAGCATTTTCACTCTGAGATCACCATCACTTCAAGCACAAGTACAGACAATAAATCGAATGCTGATGAAAGAGGTATAGTGTCATGATGGATTCTAGAAAAGTTCTCGAATGTTTGCATGTAGTTTTTTGGTAGTTCCACATATTCGTACTGTATACAATGTACTTTCTGGATTGTTGCATGAGCAGTCTCATCCTGTCATTGACTAGAGGGCTCTCGAGTTCACAAGTTGCTTTTGTTGCATCTTTTTCTCCATTAGAGGGCCCTCTTCCGCCATCTCTGAACTGGCTGTTTTATTCTGCTGCTGATCGTCTTCCTCTTGCTGGTGCTGACTTGTCTCTCCACGAGGTGCAAAGGCAATACCTTAAAGAACAAACTGTGTTGGCCAGGTATGAACCAAAAAGGCAAAAACACAATACAAATCCACTAGTCATATGCTGAGAATTGTCCTTCTATGACCCTAACCACACCCTCCTGTCTTGAATGAACCTGAACGCAACAGCGCCTGTACTGGAATCCACCTCAGTGCACCACTTACTGTAAACCACACTGCATCTGAACTCACGTGTTTTCATTCCCATAATGTCTCACCTAAAGCAGATATTCACACAGTTTCAGAATTACAGCCCAATGTGCGCCTATGAGAGAACCTGAGAAACCACAGGAGAGCTTCAAATACTGCACTTAACACTGAGGCGCTCCTGTTTTATTGAACTATCACTTTATGACAATGCAATATTTAAATCAATCATCGTTTATGAGAATAGGATATGATGGGAAGAGTCTCATTGTTCTTCTTTTGTCTCTTTAGGTCTCACAATCGGGAAATATGTGAGTAGTTTCTACTGGTCATTACACAAAATGAAAGAGGCCCCGGTTTGTTTTAGCGACACACTTGTTTAATTCATTATTAGGGGTATAAAAATGCATTGATTATAAAAATATTTATTGATTTGAATTTTTTTGGTGAAAATATTTTCAGGCTATTTTTAAAGGTAAAGCCTTCCTCCCCAAATGTTATATTGTGTAAATAGTCCCTCCAGAAAAAAATATTATAATATTATAAAGTAAATCGTAGGCAGAATGCCATCTGCAAAAGTTTTGGTGCCCCTGCTCAAATTACACGTTTAATATGTCACTACATATTAAACGTGTCTTCAACAGAGAACTCACTTCTGCACATTTTAATGCACAGCTACTGTTTATATGCAGAATTTGATAGTGACATGAAAACATGTGTAACTGATAGATCTAAATCTTTCCTTGCAAAAAAAAAAATCTTCCTTTTTTTTCACAAGTGGAAATTTAGTGGTCAGGGCTGGGGACAGCCATCTCCCAGTAGAAAGTAACCTATATTTGATGACTTTGTGTATGTTTAGTTTATTGCTATCTCAGTTAAAGCCTTGGGTTTAAATAGATCATAACAATTTTTTAAATGTCTAGTTAAATATCTGAAATATGTGAGTGTGTGTGTGTGTGTGTGTGTGTGTGTGTGTGTGTATAAAATATATAAAAAGCATTCTAGTCAAATTTGAGTTTCATCATCACACATCATCTCGCATCTCAAAGCCCATTTCATGCTTTGCTTTGTTGTCCTTCTTTTGCCCCAGCAGCTGCAGCATTTGCAGAAGCCACAGCCAGCAGTGTCTTCCTCAGCCAGCAGCTGCCATAATGTGGAGATGCAGATACCTTTGGGCAGCGACGTCATGAACAGTGCTAGAAGTCAGGGCATGGGGCCGGGCCTCTGCCCTGGGGGCAGTCAGCAGGTCACCATGGATTACAACGGCAAAGGGGAGAGCATCAACAATACAGTGGGTGAGGAAAGCTTTTGTAACAATACAAGAACCGTTTTTGGTGCTATATAGAACCATTTTCAAAAAGTTTCTATAAAGAACCATCTACAGCACATTCTCCATCAATCTGAAGAACCATGTAGCGATGCAGAGAACCATTTAATCACACAAAGGGTTCTTTGAGCATATGTGGTTCTATATAGAACCATTTTCTTTATCTAAGGACTCTTTAAGAACCTGACTGAGGATTTTCTTAGTCTTAGCTTGTTTTAAGTACCCTTAATGTTCTCTGTTATTGTATTTTGTTTTCTTTTTTCTCTGTTGTTTTTGTTTAATATTTATTTTATTGTGAAGGACTTTGTAGCCTTGGCTTAGAAAAGTGCTGTATAAAGTTTACTTGCTAACAAAATACTTGATTACACTCTTCTGACAAACACTAGTTTGTAGTCTCGAGTGTTTTAAAATGTAATATTTTAAATCAATGTCTTAATTAAGTCTTAATTAAGTATATAACAATTAAGTAATTAAATATAAAATATGTAATAATGTAATGCAAAATAAAATGTAGGCAACTCTAGACTATTGTGATAAAATATGTCGCTGCTGTCGGAAGAAAACCTTGTATCTCCATTTTTGTCGTTTTTCAGTTTTTGTCATAATCTGAAAATCCCTGTTGGTCTTTACATGGTATGTAAATTTCATGAAGAATGGACCCAAAGAAACGGCCCAAAATGACTTCAAAAAAAGTCTGGTTCCATTGACTTACATTAAAAGTAAAGCAGGTTTTTTCTTTCTCCTGTAAAGTTACCATTTTGGAGATTTTCTTCCGATAACAGTGATATGTATTTTATTCATTTTACTGCATTTTTAATCATCTAAATGTTAAATTTCTTTGTAATGCTAATCCAAGTAGATCTAGTCTTAGTTTCTACATTTCATAAATGTTTATATTTTGGCATTTCCCTCAGCAAAAATCAACATCTTCACAAAATGCCCATATCGGTGCATCTCTAACTGTAAGTAGGGCACCATTCGCAATGTTTACTTTCCTCTTTCCTGCAAACAATTAGGCAAACGCGCCTGCACAGAGGATTATTTCAGAGTGTCTTTTTCTATGTAGCACTTCCAGACAGATTAACCTTAGCTTAACCTTAACTTTATCCTTATAATAAAGGTATGTGCTGTTATGGACAAGAAAGTGCAATTATTTCAATCTAGTCCACAATAGTACTATATTTAACAGACACATTGCGTAAAAGATCCACTCAATAGGATGGCGGAAGAAGAGTTTTGAAAAGAAGGTGTTGACCTTTATACGTGACGAAGCTTGTTTCACTGTAATCCCTTAAGAAAAAAGGCCTGGTGACACGGTAGCTCGACTGTGCGAAAGTATGGGCCGTGTATTGTGAGGGTTTTTTATCTACATCTTGCGCTTTCACCAGGAAACTAATCTACTTTATCTTGAGAGTCCATTGGTCCCCACTTCCTTTTGCACTTGTTTTCTTATCACATTTTCTTTCCCTGAAAAGCAGCGCTGCCAAGAAGCATTTCCTGGTTAAGCAGCTCAAACACAGGTTACATACAGTCTATGAAGATGAACGGTGGAGAAATTACTCAGCAAGTTGAGGAAACACTGACATAAAACTATGGTGTGTGTGTGGTTTTGTGTCAGAACTAAAAGGTTGAAATAAAAGAAGTGAAAACTTGTACCTGACAAAAAAGCATGAGGTATTTAGAAATACATCAAAGTGTGCCACACTTTCTTAACATCTCAAAATGAAAACACAATACCTTTAGCTTGCCTCGAGATACTTATATCCTGCCACTGTGGTAGATATAAACCATAAAAAAAACTCAATTGAGGCCACCACTATTATTCTGTTTAAAATGTATTTATTTAATTTATTGATTTAATATTTGAATGCATATACTGATCTCTCAGTAAAAACAGCCTAATAAATAGACCTATTTACATTATCGCTTTACAGGAGAAGGCAAAAACATTCTTCACTTTTAATGCAAATTAATGTAAAAAGAACTGATTCCATATGATTCTGGAGCTTTTCTATTAGTCTATTCTTAATGAATTTTTTACACAATGTAAAGTACAGCTGTGTGTTCAAATGGGTATCAGAAATCAATTGCCAAATGTTTTCTCTCAGCTCCTTAAAGCAACAGTATGTAACAGTTTTACCTTAAAAATATCAGCCTCAAAATCATTTTGATGGTACACCGACTTATAATAGGGAGATTGGCATCTCTGTCATTGCCATTGTGGGCCTGAAACACCTGCTATAGCACTATGTAACTTTGGAGGAGCGAGCAACAGGCCCCTCGCGAGAGCTGCGTAACACTTTACGGCTCCATGTCACACACCATGTGAGTCTTCAGCTAACTATAAGAAGTAGCTCAATATTCCCAGCATGGACATCATGGCAGGGGCTGCCAAAAGGCGAAGAAGGCGTTGTCAAAGGGGAAGCGAGGAAGGAAGGAGAGAGAGTGACCGAGCAAGAGACCGGACAAGAGTAAATCTCGGACTGGCTTTTACTTGTTGGTGAGAGCTAAAAGACATAAAAAGATGCAAGACAGTCTCATGACTAACGCCATCCCTGTCTCACAGAGTTTTGTAGTTTTTCCAGATGCTAAAAGTCATCTAACCTCAGTCCCGTTTCAGGCTAGCAGGCAAAGAAATAAATCTCATGTCAAATAACCCTTGAAAGTTTGCAGCCTCCTGTAATTAAGTCCTGTAACATTACCTGGTAAGTCAACATGGTTGTTTCTCTTCTGATGTTGTCTTTGCCGGTGTTTTGCTGAATTCTGACCCACCTGGAACAATCGACTTTTCTTTCAGGCATAAGGATGTTACAGATCACACTCGCAATTTCAGTTATTTACACATAGAAACACTTGAAATCATAAGTGTAATCTGTAGTGTCCATATGCCTGCGTGACTTACATGGAGGGGATTCTGTACATTTTAGCTCATCAACAAAGGCACGTGTACATGATGGGGGCTCAAAGCGCGATTTGTGTTTATGACAGTGGTGTCAGAGTGAAATACACTCTGCAACTGTAGGGGAAGCACAAGGGCAAAAAATACCTATTCTCACATAATGCTGCCCTAAGTATATGTGGCAGAGCGTGTTCATTTGTCTGCAAGGATGACTAATTCTCACTGAGTCATTTTTGAACAAAGGAAAACCTCAGTTTAACTGTTGGACATGCAGATTAGGAGCTGAGTCACTTTCTTCTGAAGCCTAATCTCTTGTTCTTTTCTTTTGTAGGTTCAATTTTCATTTACTCTCCAGGCATGGTGATCCTGGGCTCCAACTCCAAAGAGAAGAAGGAGGAAGTGCCGGAGAACGGCGAGGACATTCCACTCATGGGCGTCCCGCAGCAGGAGTCCAGCTTACACCCCCAAGACGACTCTGTTAGGGTGGGAATGCAAGAGGAATTTGGCAAAGGGCTGAGCTTTCCTGTCCCAGCCACTAGCAAGTGAGAACGCTCTGATACCAACGTGGGTATTAAGGAACAATACACGTCAGGACGGGCGTCGGTTGTCGTTATTATGGGCCGCTTGGCCAAAGACGATGTGGAAAGCCCATGCTGATGAAGAGAAGACTCTCAGAAGACCAGAATGAGCAACGAGAACACTCGTTCCATAAAAGTGCTGTGTCTTCTTGTACAACACTGCTTGTTGATGAGAAGATGTACTGAATTTGAGAAGGTGCATTGAATTGGCTTCATTCAAATGTGTCATTTCCACATTAATGATGATACAATATGTCCAAAAGTATCCAGACACCCCTTCTAAATAGCTTAAAGATCACCTATTGCTGACACGGGCATTGAATTGCACACGCAGTTTGTATAATCTGCATAGAAAAGCATTGCCAGTAGAATGGGATGCTCTGGGGCAGCTGCACATGAGCCTAAGGTCACCATCTCCAATTAAAAGCATTGGTGTATAAAACTTCCAGCACTGGGCTGTAGAACAGTGGAACTGTTTTTCAGAGTATGAACTCCATCCAGTACCTAGGATGAGTTGGAGTGATCCAGAACTAATCACCCAACATCAGTAACTGACCTCACTAATGCTCTTGTGACTGAATGCAATCAAATCCTCACGGCAATGTTCCAAAATTTAGAGTAAAGCCTTCCCATAAGAGCTGAGCCTGTTACTGCAGCAATAAAGGGGAACCATCCCATTGAAACCCTTGATTTTAACAACTTTTGGACATAGAGTATATAATTAATCAGCACAGTTATATTAAATTTAATTAAGTCCACCAAACTGAAAGGTGGAAACTGTGTCGATGTAATATCTATCATTCATGTGGAATTAATGCACACATTTGAATAAACTCAATTCAATGTGTCAGTTTTCTCAGTGAAGAACCTCTGATGGTGACTGTGTCTTTGTGTGTTCAGTAGATAGATACACTGAGTTTCAGTGGTTCAGTGGTATGTTTGTTTTTTTTTTTCTGTTCGTTCTGTAGGAGGGAGTGTGAAGCACAGTGAAGGTGCGAAAACTCCCTGGCTGCTGAAAATCCTACACTGAAAAAAAATGTGATGCATTGAACTTTTTGAACTGAATTTGATTCAAACTGTCATAATTTCCACATGAATAAAAGATCTTACATCAACACAGTTAATGCCAAATGAAAGTAAACAGAGAAAGACAGAGCACGTTTTCTTCATGTGGAAATAACTTACAAATGATTTGAATCAAGTTAATTCAATACATAATTTATTTTTCAGTGTACATTCAGGTTAATCCAGACACATGACTCTTACATGTTTGCGCTCTCACAACGTAGAATGATGTTTGTGATCAGTAGATCATGCTTTTATATACAAGTTGGACAGATGAAAGTAGATCAGCGCACTTGACTGAGGAGTGTGGGCGTCTAACAGTATGAAGGCGAAGCTAAAAATACCTCAACGTTGGAAAATATTTACCAATTTACATGACGGGGGGCAGTCATGTCAGTGGCCTCACTTAAGCAGGCTTACTTGACGAGTGGCCTGTAAAGTGAGCCCCGCACCCCCCCACCCCCCCATTGACA